GAAATAGTGAACAGGAAATTTCAAAGGGCAGCTTGAGAAGACAAAGTCAAGCATTATAAATGAAATGTGAAAAGACCTGGATATCAAAAACCAAAAGGGAAGAACATGCTCAATATTTCTCAAGCTGAAACAACTGAAGAAAAAATTCAAGCCTAGACTTGCAATATTGAAAGATTTTATGGGAAAAATATTGAATGACGCAGAAAGCATCAAAAGAAGATGGAAGGAATACAAAGATACAGTATACCAAAAATAAATGGTCGATGTTCAACCGTTTCAAGTAGTAGCATATGATTAAAAACCAATGGTACTGAAGGAAGAAATCCAAGGTGCACTGAAGGCATTGGCAAAAAACAAGGCTCTAGGTACTTATGGAATACAGATTGTTCAACAAATAGATGAAGCACTGACTTGCTCACTCATCCATGCCAAGAAATTTGGAAGATAGCTACCTGGCCAAGTATAAGAGATCCATATTTGTGTCCATTCCAAAGAGAGGTGATCCAATGGAATTAGAAAATCATTGAAAAATATCATTAATATTACATGAAAGCAAAATTTTGCTGAAGATAATTTAAAAAATTATTGCAACAGTACATCATCAGGGAACTGACAGAAATTCAGGCCAGATTCAGAAGAGGACATGGAACGAGGGATATCATTGCACTTTTGTCTTCTCTGGCTGCCCTCTGACATATAGTTTCAACTGTTTTATTTAATCATTTCTTCTGTTTATTTCATCTACTTTATGTTCAACACATACAGTTGCCATCAAAAGCAAGGAGATACTGCAAACTTCAGCATCAATAATCCTGAGACCAAGAGAACTAGATGGCCCCTATCACTGGAGACCATCCTGATAGAGTTCTGGATAGAGTGGGAGGAAAATGTGTGTGTGTGGGGGGGGAAAAACCTCAAACTCATTAAAAAGACCAGAATTATTGACTAGACAGAAACTGGTAGAAGCCCCAAAACTGTGCACCCTTAGTCACCCTGCAAGCCTGGGACCAAACTCACCCTCATGGTTCAAGTTTCAGTCTAAAAACAGGTTTATAAGGTGAACAGTAACATGCACTGCTTAGAACAATCAACTATTTGAGATCAAAAGGGCAACATTTGCCCAGGGACAAAGCTCAGAAGGCAGGAAAGGAGGATGAATGGAACAAATGCAGTTAACAAGTGGGAAGAGTGTTAATACACTGTGGGAATGCAAGCAATGCCATGAAACGACATGTGCATGGACTGCTGAATGGAAAACCAATTTGATCTGTAAATCTTCATCAAATCACAATTTTGTAAGCAGGCAAAATACTTGAATAGACATTTCTCCAAAGAAGATATAACAGTGATTAACAAATACATTAAAAGGTGCAGAACATCATCAGTTACTTATGAAATACAAATAAAAACTACAATGAATACAACTTCATAACCAATAGGATGGCTATAAAATAAAAACAAACTAATGTTGGCAGGATGTGGAGAAATTGGAACTTACATATATTACAAGTGAAAACAAAATGTTTGAGTCTCTGAGGAAAACATTTGATAGTTCCTCCATAAGGTAAACATGGACATGTGTGCTAAATGCCACTGAGTCAGGTCCAACTCAGAGCAACACTGGATAGGATTTCTGAGGAACAACTGGTGAGTTTTAACTGCTGACCTTGCAATTCAAACTGACCTTGAGGATCACTGTGTATCCTACATTGCCACATGATCCAGAAATTCCATTTCTAGACATTGAAAACATGTTCTTTAGAAAACTGTATAGAAAACAAGTGTTTTTGTTAAAAAAAAAAAAATTGTGCATGATTATTCACAGGACCACTATTCACAATAGCCAAAAGGTAGAGCCAGCCTAAATGTTTACCAATTGATATGTGAATTATTTAATGACTCTTCTAGCCATAGTTTGTAATTCCCATCAAACAACATTTTTGCCCTGTTTGGTCTGGGTAATAGAAGATGGGCGACAAACTAGTACTCACTCGACCTAGCTTCAATGGCTTGATGATCAGAATTCTACTAGAGGAAGATTAAAAAGAAAAATTAATAAAGGAAACAAGTGTAAATTGCTACAATTTGATGAACTTGACCATTACTCATGGAGGTAGTAACTCTAAATACTAAGAGAGGGAAGGAGTCTTCACATCAAGGATCAATCCTATCCCCTCTGTATACAGGGCTGATAGGGATGGGCAACTTAGACTTTGGCTACCTAAAATGAGGGGGTGATAAAGGCATGACATGACTGGTTTATAAGTTTTCAAGAAGGAATTTAGTTTCAGAGTGTGTGGGGGAAGGTAGAGTCCCCACTGAATAGTTTTCATCTTGTCTAGATGGGTCTTGTAAAAAGAGATGGGGATAAGAGTCTTAGGATTCAATAGTAATTATTATCATGACTAATTGCGACTGTCCCAACTGTAAAGGTAGAAGTTTTGTAATGTAAAGGGAGGAGTAATTAATCTTACAGTCCAGGAACAGAGGACCCTAGGACCATCAAGGGAGAAGAGCACGAGCAGAATGTGGGACCCTATCCAAAGAAGCAGCGACACCAGAGATGGAGGCAGAGATGAGGACATGGAGAAATAAAGCAGCTTAGGACTCTCTAGACTCCTGCAAAGAGAAAGGATGTGTGCTGGTGGCCAGGAGGCAGGCTTGCAGAATGTGCCCTTTGGTTGCATAAATAATAATATAATCCTGAGTGTTTTTGTGTACATAAAACAAAAAAACAAAAAAACCAGAGGGAATAGAAGCAAACACTGTTGAATGAAGATGTATGGAGGATATTGTAATCACTGCAATGAAATGATGAGTGTAAAACTGATGTTCTCCCATGTAAACTATCGCTTAAGTTACAATAAAAACTAAAAAAAAAAAAGAGAGAGAGAGAAGATTGGTGAAGATACTGATCTAGGATGACATAATTCAGCTGTGTATGGATGCTAACAGAGTGCATTGTAATTGTAAAAAATTGAAATTCTAGCATGGGTATAAAATGAGCCATCTCAGAAGCAGAAATGAGGATCTCACTACCATCAAGAAGAAAGAGACAGGAATGGAACAAGTCCTTTGGACCCCAAGATCCCTGTCTATTGAACCTCCTCAATCCAGGAACAGAAAGTTGTGTCACTGGAGAAGTGGCAAATGAGCAGCAGCAGCAGAGCCAAGAACCAGAGCACAAGACAGAGCAGTGGCCTTCCCAGCCCACAAATAAGGTAAAGCTGAGTGACTTTGAACAGAAAGCCTGTTTGCAGAGTGGGTTACCTCCAGGTACGTAAGTGGGGAGCTAAGTTTGCTAACCCAGAGAGCTATAGCTCAGCCTTCAGGCTGAGGCTTATGGTGGAGTGCTATGTCCTGTGGGCATTTATCAATCGATGATTGGAACAGCTGTGCCCCCACTTGTAACCTGTTAACTTCTCTAGTAAACCTCTTAACTCTAAGTATGGCGCCTGAGTTCTGTGTGGTCACTGTTACAGATTATCAAAACCAAATGAGGAGTAGAGAGGGCTGTGGGAGGAAAGGCTGGTGTTACATACTGTTGCATGAATTAACGAACTGCTTACAATGGAATATTTACTCAATCATAACAAATGACGCTACAACATCTAACAAATGACGCTACAACATAAATGAACCAAAAAATTTATTCTAAGTGAAAAAAATCCAGAAACAAAAAGCTACATATTATATGATTCTAACATAAAATATCCATATAGGTAAATTCATACATACAGAAGGCACAAGATCTATGGAAAGAACAGAACAGGGAAAGACTTTTTAGTCGATAGTTTAAGGGGAGTGATTAAAATGTTTTGAAACTCAATAGCGGTGGTTGCTGCCCAATACTGTGAATGTGCATAATGCCACTGAATTGTACATTTGTTGTTAGATGTTGTTAAGTCAGTTCCAAGTCATAGCAACCTTATGTCCAGCAGAATGAAACACTGCCTACTGCATCTTCTTCCCAATTGCTGTTATGTTTGAATACAATGTTACAACCCCTGTAATAATCCATCTCATTGCGGGTCTTCCTTGTTTACACTTATCCTCTACTTTACCAAGCATGATATCCTTCTCCAGAGACTGACTCCTCCTGATAACATGTCCAAAGTACTTAATTCTTACCCATTCTCTCTCATAAAGAGCATTCTAGTTGTTGTCAAATGCCGTCCAGTCTGTTCCGACTTACAATAACCCTGTTTAGAATTTCTGAGGCTGTAAATCACGGCATAACAGAAAACCTTTCTTTCTTCCACAGAGTGGCTAGTGGGATCAAACTGCAGACCTTGTGGTTCGCAGTCCAGTGCTTATCCTACAGAGCTACCATGCTCCTGGGTGGACTGAAACCAAGATATGTTTTGTCATTATTTTCAATAACTTCATATGCATGTGAAAGCTGGACAGTAAATAAGGAAGACCATAGAAGAATTGATGCTTTTGA